GTTTAAAAATATTTACCCACATCTTATTGTAAGTGGCCCTGTTAAAAAAGATGTCACTCACTTTCTTCAAAGCCACTCTGAAGTCTTGGAAATTGGCAATAAAGTCTCCCTGGGGCCTGTTCTTCACAAAACTGAGTAACTCCATCTCTCTCTGCATTTCCTGAGTCAGGGAGCTCCTCTGGCTGGTTTGGTCGCCCTCTTTTGTCATTTGGTGGGGTGTTCAATTTTATCTAATGGCAAAAGAATTGAAGTAGAGCAATGCAGGGTACAGAGACATGAAATGGTGGTGCAGGAACCCAAGGAAGCCAGTCCCAGCCTAGGGGTCAGAGATTTGGCCGTGGGCAGGAGGGGTCTGTGGGGGGCTCACTGTGAGCCTCTGAGGGGCCCTGGTTTGCGCCCCCCAGCCCACCCTTAGAGGTTTCTGCCACGCAAACAGGCACAGCTGGGAGAGACTTGTCCCAGCCCCATCTGCTGCCTGGCACGCTCAAGCAGACGGGAACTGTGCCAGGGTTACTACCGGGTTGTGTGGCAAAGAGGGAACTGCAGGGCCCAGTGCCACTGAGCTGGCCCTGCTGGGAAGGAAGGAGCCATCCAGCACACGAGGGGCAGGGCATGGAAAGGTAGACACTGCTCTGTCTCCCTGTGGGAATCAGCACAGTGCCTGTCTTTCAAAGAGAGGGACCAGTGTGAGGCTTTAGAGATTCCTGAAAAGAAGAAACTCCAAGGACAGAAAGCACCGTTTCTAAGGCACTGGCAGGGCAAAAATCCTAGCAAGATGAAGACACCTGGATAAATAGATGAGTGGGATTCTGGGCCACATTTCCCGGAGATGGCAATGTCCGGCACATAAAGATGGAGGTGTAGATGGTCCCATTGGTCCTCTTCCTGCATCCTTCTATAAGCCAGAGGAATCCTGTGAAGCACTGAGCTTGGAAAGTCATGGTCCATTATTTTTTGTTGATTTGGTTTTTTTCCCTTTTTGGCAGCATCCATTTGTAACATTTGCTGAGCCTGCGTCCAGCCTGGTGCCACTGATTGTTTCAGTGAAGAAGAGGAGAGAGACAACAATGTGACAATCACATCAAGACCATTTATTCGTCAACCAGTTTACAGCAGGATTGTAGATTAGGATTAGGATTAGGATTAGGATTAATATTAGGATTAGGATTGGGATTGGGATTAGGATTAAGGTTAAGGTTAGGGTTAGAGTAGGATTGTCTAATAGGACTGCAGAGTAGGATTGGAAATGAATACAGTTTCTGAAACCACAACTCACCTTGAAGACTCCCTTCCTTCTCACTCTGCGAATACGCTCAAGAATTGCTTCTGAATTGTCTGTTGTTTCTTAAAGGTGGAAAGTGACACGGTGTCTTTGGCATGGTGTGAAAGTGGGGAAAAAGGATGTTCTTCATTCATCCTCTCCAGAGCACACTGACTTTGGAATCTGGTCCACTGGTCTGTTTTTGGACAGCTTTGGTATTTCTATTTGAGGCAGAAAGGGCAATGGCATTTGAAGGCAACACCAAAAGAAGAATGAGGCAGCCCAACACTCTGAGCAGATGCAGGCCTTCAGCTGTGACTGGAGAACATTGGGGCTCCTACCACTTGGATTTGTATCCCGAAATGCAATAATCTCTTTGGTTGGAGGAGAGCCTTGCTCAAGTGAGAAAGCAGAAAGATCAGAGAGGGTGCTCGGGAAGGTCTCCTGTGGTGCAGAGCTGTCAGCGCCTGGGAGGTGAGAGTGGGCCCGGCCTTGGCTGGGGTGGAGCCCCAGCAGAGCCCCGGCAGAGGCCGGAGCAGGCTGAGCCCTGGCAGAGGCAGGCTGGAAGGAGGCCCTTGGAGCTGCAAGAGGCAGCAGCCGGGCCCTGGGTGCCTGTTCCTGGAAGCAGGCGAATCCTCCACTCCCAGAGCCCAGGTGGCAGCTGGCAGCTGCTGAGGGGAAGCGCAGCCGTGCTGGGCACAGCCCAGCCTGGAGGCATTGGCCCACTGGAGTGTGCCCAGCAGCAGAGAAAGGCCAAGGGCAGCCGAGGGCCGCTGGGCTGCCTGAGGATTCCTCCTCTTCTGCCGGCTGCCCTGCAACTCCTGGCAAAGGTCAGCAGTGTGTGCAGCACTCTGGGCACCGGGGCAGGGAGCCGGGCTGCTCAGCAGGCTAGAGCACAGGGCAGCCTCCTTCAGGCCGGCTCTTGTGCCAGGGGAAGCGAGGCCAGTGTGAGGCAGGGACAGCTTGGCAGGGCACATCTGCAGGAGCCAGAGCCTCACGCAGCTCTGGGAGGAAGCGCCTGCAATCCTGCATTTCTGCACTGAGCCCGAGCAAAGGTGTGAGATGCAGAGTGTTTGGCAGAAATATTCAGGCCCACCAGGCCAGCCTGCTTGTGCTCTCTGGCCCACAGCAAGCGCTGTGCAATGCAGCTCACACCTCTATTGCAGGGCTGTTCTTCTTCTCAGTAATCATCGCTCAGCTGTCTCTCACTGACATATTGCTAGCTGAAGACCTGTCTCTTCCATATCCCCTATAAAAAGACCTTACCTTAGATTCTCAAATTTAGCATGCATGCATGTGTGAAAAAAAACCCCCACATATCTTTAGGAACATCAACACATTAAAGCAGATTTCATTTATGAAACCCACAGCAACTGCATTAAAATGTGGGTGTATGAGCCTTTCTTCAAAATTTTCTTAAGAATATCTCTAGAGTTATTTTTTAAACATAAGTATGCTGCCCCTAACAAGTCCAGATTACTTGGCAAAGGGTAATCAGTCATCCATTAAGCATTCCAGCAGTTGCCTAGCATTTTCTTCTGATAACTGATCCCTGGATATTGCAACCAGCTGCTGATTTGTGTCTGCCCACTTCTTTTACATGTTCTGAGCCAAAAGCAATAGTACCATTGTGAGTGCATCTGAACAGATTGGACACTGACACCCCATCCTATTGCCTAGGTTCTCCCATGGAAGATTCCTTGCTCTTTTTTCTCTGCCACCAATGGGGATCTGCAGTCCCTGCCGGGCACTGCTCGCTCTGGGTTGTAAAGGCAGAGGCGATGCGCTGGTGCACTTGGCGCAGGTGAGCCTCGGGCCCGGGCAGGGAGCGATGCTCCGAGCTGCCGCGGATCCGGCGGCGAAGCCGAGCGGTGCCGTGGCCGGGCTGGGAAGCCGAGCGGCGCCCGTGGCGCTGCCTCCCCGGGCAGGGCTGTGCTCTCAGCGCCGCCGGGGCTGCCGAGCAGCGCTTTCCACGCGCCTCCGCCTCCGGAGCCAGCCCCGCAGCCACGCTCTCCCGAACCGCACTGACCCGCGCCCGTTCTCGGCCCGGCTGCAGGACTCCGTGATTCCGGGCTCCCCGGGTTCCCAGTCCGCCTGCAGGAGCCTCCGCTCCTGGACTCCCCTCACTGGGCTCTCTTCTCTCATGTCTTTCCCCTCTTTCCCAGGCCCTCTCCACTCTACTCCGGATCTCCCCCCGTTCACAGGTTGTCCCCTGTCTCCTGGGTTCTGCCTCCTCTCTCGGCTTTTCCCCATTCCCGAGCTACCCTTTGTCCCAAGCTCCCTCCTTTCCTGGGCTGTAGCCAGTGCTTTTATTCGTCTCCCTGGATCTGCCCTTCTCCCGATTACTCCTCCCTCTTCCAGGATCTCCCCCCTCTCCCAGGGCTCTTTCCTGTTTCCCCGCCTCTACCCTCTTGGAAGGCTACCCACCCTTTGCCACGGATCTCACTCCCGCCCCCGTCCCGTGATCTCCCCTACTCCCGGGCTCGTCCCGCTCTCCTGGGATTTTCCCCCTCCTCCCAGCATCTCTCCCCTCTCCCGCTCACTCCTCCCTCTGCCACGTCTCTCTCCCCTCTGCCGGGATGTCCGCCGGTTCCCGGAGCGCCCCATGCCCCCGGCCCCTCGCCGCCCGTCCCTCGCCGCCTCGGCCGGGCCGCTCCGGGGCCGCGCTCGGAGCGCAGCGGGGCCGGGCCGGGGCCGCCGGGGCCGCCTCAGCTCCGCCCCGCGGGAGGAGCCGCCACAGCGCCCCGGCAGCGGCCCCGCGCAGGCGGAGCGGCCCCGGCTGCGCCCGCAGCTGGGCCTGGGAGGGGCTGCGGCCTGGGAGAGCTGCTCCGGGCGCGCTCCGGACACGAGCAGCTCCGACCTGTGCTCGCTTTGTACCCTCAAGGCTGCCGGATGCCTTGCAGTGAAGCTGCAGTGCCCGGGCTATTCCGGTCTCTTCTGGTCCTCAGCTGAGTATTGCTGGCCGCGGGTCTCTGTACGAATCACGAAACGGACGGGACTGCTGAGGAACGCGCCTCGAGCTGTTTGTTTTCCAGCATCAGTCTCATGACATGGTTGTTACAGTGGGAAGATGCCAGCAGCTCACATCCCTGGCAGGAGGCAATGAACTTAATGGTACAACTGACTTGAAAAGTTTTTTGACCACTCACACAAAGCAAAAGCATATTGACAGTAGTTCTGTGCAACCACTATAAGCACACGTAGCTTTTGTTAAAACACTGCTTGCTTCTTTCAAACACTATACCTGCTTGTAAGCCTTAAAACACAATGCGCAGAGCTCCATTATTGTGATAAATAGGTATCATTCGTGCTGATAAAATTTGAAACAGTAATTGATATTGATAGAGTAATTAATATTTGAGAATAATAAATAGTTAAAAAGTTGTAATGCCAAAGAAGAGAGGGAGAGGAGGGGCTCCATCTCCCTTCCCACCAGCTGTTCTCAAGGACCACAGGAAAGAAGCTGAAGGTACAGTTGCTAAAAATGAGCAAGAACCTGGTTCGGTCCCAACAAATGCTAATTCTAAGGGATTTATTGCCTTGATATGTAGATGGAGTGATACGTTAGTCTTGGCTTACATTGGCTGTACTGGCTACGTACTGGCTTGATGCGCATGTGTAACCCAAAGGTGAATTAAGGACAACGAAGAAGACTCTAGGGCCTTCATCAGTGACACCCCCCAAAGATTTGTGCAACCACCAAACCGAGTGGTGGCGCATGCGTGGTAAAGGTGGTGAGGAAGGCGGAGACAGAAAAGTGATGAACCGAAAATAGGAGGAGATGGTATTGACATATGGCGTATAAGGGATGATTTTCACTTGGCAAGCTTGTACGTGAAGTGGAAAGGGTCAAGAACTCTGCCCTCCGTACCCCGCGGTATCTTTTGCTTATGTGCTGGGAAGAACCCCTGATGCAGGAGCATTTGTGGTGAGGAAGTGGAAGCTTTGTAAGTTCTAAGAGGCTTTGTTTGATGGGAAAGAAGAGAAGAGTGTTTGGAGAAGTGGCACTGAAGGCCCAGTGTCCCGGGCAGGGAGGGGCATGCCAGAGGTGCCTCTGTTGCAGCAGCAGATGTGGGCTGTGCCTCTTTTGGGTGGGAAAGCCAAGGCAAAGCAAGGGCTGGGCTGCAGCTGCTGCTGCTGTGGGAGCCCTGCCGTGCGTGTGGGCGCTCCCAGAGCCGTGGCTGGGGCTGGGCTGCAGCTGCAGCTTTCTTGTCCTCTCAGTAAGCTGCTGCCTGCAGTCCAGTTTCCATCTGGGAAATCCTCAGCTGGGCAAACTGGCCAGTCTTGCTGTCCATGTTGCAGAGCTCTTTCCCTTTGCTCTTGGGCATCTCTGTGGGAAGAGATGTGTGTTCCCATGCTGTCCCTGCCAAGCTGCAGCCTGGATGAGACTGCTGTGCTCAGGGCTGTGGAAGAAGGAGCACATCCCTTTGCCAGGAGCTGGCAGGACTCCTGCTTAGCAGCCATTCCATGTGTTCAGTGTCACCCCCATGTTCAACACTGTCAGCTCTGACAGCTTTTGGACTGTGATTGAGAAGTCAATTTTTCTGACAGTTGAAGGGCTTTGGGTCCCAGAGTTGTTGTTAGGAAGAAGGGATGAAGTGTGTGAGCCATGGAGTTGTTGGACCAGGTGTTTTTTGTAAGTGGTGGAAGGTTTTCTGCCTGTCAGTTTCTCTTTCAAGGGCAATATTATTGTTGACCCTGAGTCTTCAGGAGGGGAGCCTGTGGGCAGAGCTGCAGCAGAGGGAGCTTTGCCTGGCACCGAGAGCCGCAGGAACAATTCCCAGGACCGCGAGGAGCTTGGTAAGGACAGAGCCCCCACTGGTTTAGAGAGGGGTGAGATGGCTGCTCTGAGCCTGCCTCTGGCAAGAAGGGAGATGAGAAGGGTTGAGTTCCTGTCTGCAGGCTTGGTGCTTCCTGGTGCCTTGAGTTCAAATCCTGCACGGGCACAACCTGCCTGAGCCCTGCCCTCCACGCTTCTCCAGAGGCTCTGACACTGAGTGCTCTGCTGGGGCAAGAGAGCAGGGAATAAACCTGACCTTGTGGCAGTTGTGTCACCAAGCCAGGTGTCCCAATTTTGTGCTGATGTCCGTGGATAAGTTTGCTGCAGGATGTCAGTGCTCTGGAGGCAACCCTGAGTGACTCTTGAAGCAAGAGAGGAAAAGCCCAGCAAAAGGTCAGTGTAGAAATCTGAGCTTTTTGTCTCCAAGCATTAAATCCATGTAGTGGCACTCTGCTGATAGCTGTAGTGAGATACATTAAAAATACAAGCAGCAGAAGCTCTGAGGCCAAGGAAATCATTAGTCACAAAACCAGGAGCTCAACGAAAATCTGAAATCACCCCTTAAAATTAGTGAGAGCTAAAGGTGAGAGAGAGCACTTTGGGTCTGCATCCTTGAGCAAAGCTGGTGCTGCCTGCAGTCCTGTTAGGGAGCTCTTTCCTTCACAGCTGTGAGAAACAGAATTCACGCTTAGAATTATTAAATTTTAATACTGATAGGATAAAAAAAGACAATATTTGCAGCACTGTGGTGCTCGGGGCTAACACCCAAACAACACCTGGTGCTAAGTGTCAGTGTTAGCTTTATGGTGTTACTTTGCTGAGAGGCAAGTATATTCATGTGTTTCATGAATTTTTCAAGCATTCTTCGGAATTTTCTGATCTTTTGGGAACTCCTTAATTTGACTGCTTCGCACTCAGGTTTACTGCATGACATCCTGTGCATCAGGTCAACATATTTTATTTCTGCTTGTGTCTCCTGCTGTTTCACATCCTCTGATAAGGCTTTAGTAGGTTCTCATTAAATTTCACATGATATTCTCTAATTGTCCTCTGGTGCTCTGGTTTGTGTCAGGGTTATTTTATCACTTGGACAGGTTGGTCAGTGGACAGCCTTACACTGATTTTAGTTACACACAAGCCTTTTTTCCCGTTATGTTTTGCTAGGGTCTATAACACAATATGTTCATCACACAATTGTTTCCATAAGTGATGCATAGATATTATATTCATTACGCTACTGTTTCTATGAGCAATGCAGTGCAAACTTAAGCTGATAGATTCTATTATATTACAAGCAGCTTAAAGAGTTCTAACTGATGCTATTTCTAAATACTTATAATCACTAACAACGTCCATAAGCTAATACATAAATGCCTCAGCGAATATTACCTGGTCATTTGTCACCCAGCTGTTCATCGCTGAGGTGTCTCTGTCAGCACAGAGAAAGAACCAGGCTGGGCTTCTTTGTGGCAGCTGGGTCTGTCTGTGTTTCAAGCTCTCATGGGGGCCCTTGGCCCTGCGAAAGTATCCCAATACACTGAGGGCTTTCAGTGTATTGGGATACTTCAAAACTTCAGAAGTTATAAACTTCTGGAAGGAGTCTGGCTCTTTGAAGAGCAGGCTACAAATTGCCAAGTGAGATTTTGCCTTTCGGCCCATCTTTTACAGACTTTGATAGAAGGGCAGTTAATTCCAAAAGGGCAAATAATGCAGAGAGGCCAATATTGACCATGTGTTCCCTTTGCTTCCCAGACTTCCAGCTGATCTGCCTTGTCAGGAGGGCTGCCCTGCATGGGAAGAAGGACCAGAGGGAGAGCCTGTGAGCATCAGACGGGTGGAATCCCTTAGTGTACACATAGAATTATCGATTTCTACAATTCTCTTTCTATATCCATATAGTTACATTTATAGATTTACAGAGGTGTGTTTATATGTGCATATATATACATTTATATAGTTAAATTGATCTCTATTGTTCTAGATGGGATAGAATTAGTTACATTTCTAGATTTTGAGATCTACATTTATGCATTAATAGAGTTACATTTAGATGCCTACATTTAGACGCCTACATTTAGATGCTTAAATTTAGATGCTTAGATAAAGATCTAGAAATATGCTTAGTTATTTAGTAAGAGGTATGTGGAAGTTTAGGTGCATAGATTGAGCTGTGTAAGCCCTGGCTGCATTTTTACCTCTTTCCCTCCTCGGCTGCCTTTTTCACCTCTTGCTTTTCCCCCGGTTCCCCCTGTGTCCCCTGTCCCTGTGCTGGGTCCGAGCTGGCGGCCGGGCCGGGCGGAGCAGCACTTCCAGCCCCGGCTGTCCCTGGAGCGGTGGGAGCTGCCGCTGGCCCAGGCCCTGTCCCCTGAGGAGCTGCTGAAGGATGGTGAGACAGAGGGGGCTGAGGGGGCTGAGGGGGCGGTGGCGCCGAAGGGACGCTGACCCTGAGCTGCTGCTGGGGCTGAGGGCTGTGGGGCAGCCGAGGGCCATGGTGGCACTGATGTGACAGGGAAGTGGCACAGGCTGACAGGCCAAAACCTCCCATGTATTTCTTCATCAATCTGCAAAAATGTTAGATAAAAAATTTGCTATTCCCTTTGCTGATGCTTCTAGTATTGCATGATCCTGTCCTGACCGGTCAACGAGATGGCATTGGTTTAGGCATAGTGTTAGCCCTAGGGGTACTCAGGTCTTGCGGTTATGGCAAATGGATATAACTCATGTAGAAGAATTTGGTCAGGAAAAATTTGTACATGTTTGCATTGATACCTATGCTTGTGTTTTACAGGGTACTCCCTTAACAGGTGAGACGTCATGTTGAGAAATATTTGTTCAATTTCTTCGCCGCATTAGGTGTCCCCTTAGCAATTAAGACTGACAATAGTCCTGCTTGATGTTCCTTAAGATTCAAAGGTTTCTGTAATTTATGGGGTATTTGACATGACCCTGGTATTTCTCACAATCCTACTGGACAGGCAATTATTGAGCGTGCCCATCAGATGTTCAAGGACATGCTGCAAAAACAAAAAGGGGGAACTCCAGGGTTATCCCCTGAGAAAAAAACAGCTAAAGCCAATTTTGTGCCAAATTAGCTCAGAACAATAGGAGATAGGGAAGATGCAGGTATTCTTGTGCATCATGCCCTCACACGTAATCCAAGGGAGGAATTGCCTGACGGCATTCAGGTCATGTTCAAAAGTCCAGCAGCAGGGTTGTGGCAAGGACCAGCTACAGTGAAATGAAGAGGAAGAAGGTCTATGTGCTTACTTACAGATAAAGGCATTCGTTGGATTCCAGCAACGTCGACCTTCACTTCCCTCACAAGTTGTAAGTCAGAGAGAAAATGCTTGGTATCTGCATAGTTGTGCATGTAAACCATGGCTTAAGGTTCATTGTATGAAGTGTAACTAAAAAACTTGGCGACAAGTTTGTCAAGAACATAATTGATTAGTGGTCCGAGGGAAAAGCAATAATTTAAGCCTGTCAACATAATATGCAATAACTGCTCTTACACACTTAACACTAGTACCCCGAGAATGGCATTAGCTAAATTTTTAAGGCATAACTCAAGAAGATATCAGAGTTTTCTCTAAGATGTATCTTTGATAGAAATATAGAAGCAAAGATTGTTACTGCAATTGCAGTTTAAACTTGCTTTAATTGCTGTAGTAAATCAAATTGTGCTAGAGAGCAAGATACTAGCTACAGAATGTAGAGGAAGAATAGCAATACCACAAACACATCGCTTGAGAGATTTGGAGTGAGAACAAGCTAAAGCAGTTTGGGCAAAGCGCAGGCATGATGGACCACAAGGGCGACAATGGCACCAGTCTGGCAAATATTAACAATGTTGCTTAGTGGAGTGATTAAGAAATGCAGGGGGTATACAAGATAAAGCAGCGAGCTAACATGAGGATTCCATAGGCTAACAGAACAAGGCAGGAATCTTTCTGCCTATCACTAGCTCCACCTTCAGATCCATTTGGCACCTGTTTCATTGGAAT